GGGTTCGCGTTTGGTCCGAACGGCCGAACGCATCCCCAAGGGGTCCCATACGTCTGGGCGTTCGGGTTCGGGCGTTCGGCCCGTCCCGAACACCAGTTACCCTGTTTGTGACGAATTGTTTTTTTTTTTTTTTTTTGGTTTCTTATTTTTAACTCATGATTGGCTACGAATTTGAACATGACTCCAAGGCAAAAGTTGCTTGTATTATAATTTTAGATAACATATATTGTTTTCAGATGTTTCGGAGAAACTGTTTTTTGTTTTTTTAATATTTTTTATTTCGCGTTCGGAGGTTTTTGGACGCTTGTTTGCACTCCTGCGAACATGTTCGCATTCGCCTCCGAACGTGAACATGGTGCTACGTAGCCAGGGAGGTACCAACGGAAAAAAAAAAAAAATCTAAAAAACTACTATGTTATGTAGAAAATTAAACTGAATAACTTTTGTTTCAGGGTCACATCGAAAATCTTTATCAAATTATTAAAAATAATCGTAATAATTTTATTTGTTTTTTTTTCCGGCCGAGCAAGTGGTTTTGGGTCACTCTGGTAGCCTAGGCCATACATGCAGTGTCTACCTTGTGATTGTCGTCCGGAGTGGTTACTGTGACTTGACCGGCCGGGCATAGGACTTTGCACCCGTAACCGACCATGAGCATTTCGTGGTCTTTCGAGACCCCTGCGGAATTGGGAAAGGCGGGAGGGGGGTGGTGTAGAGAGCCTCTACGCCCCCATAAAGTAAAGTGTAGAAAAGAAATAAGAAAATGATACTCCTCCAACCCTAGTTAGAGGGGGTTACAATTTTTTAATTGGCAGGGAGGGATAGGGGAGCGGGTTGGTTGATTTATTGATTGATTGATTGATTGATTGATCGACTGATTGATTGATTGATTGATCGATTAATTGGTTAATTGATTGATTGATTTTGATGGTTTGATTGATTGAAATATACATGGTTACCATTCCGAATGTTCAGGGGCCTCGGTCTGACCCTTAAACGTTCGGGCATTCGGGGTCTCGTTTGGGGGCTGAACCCCGAACCCCACCAAAATTTATTTCGGGGCTTAAAAATGATTTTGTTTTCTTGAATTGTTTTTGTTAGTTTTGTACGACATGCGCTACACACATATAAATTTTCAAGGCATTCTCTTACCGCCCCAACAAACCACAATATGGCGAATCGAGCGCCGTTGATTACCATTCCTCTCCCTAATAAGAAAACATGGGGAAGGCTTTGCCCCAAGTAATAAAGTGGTGTAGAACTTTTTACAGGAGCGGATCATCCTGGTCCCCCATTCACGAAATCAGAGAGATTTGGATGCCTAAAAAGCGTTCAGATCGATTCTCTTTTATCCTCTTCATTCCCCATTGGACTGACATCTGAAAGTTTGGTTCCAGAAAAAATACAAATTTATGCCAGTTAACTGCAACTTTCGAGAGCTCCTAATAGGCATCCAAACATTGTTTCAATGAACCCAGAGACACGGGAGAGTTCTCTGTCACGACAAATAGGTCATCGACGAGAGTTCTTACTTTGTAATTTGATTTGCGTGTCGGGAAACCATGAATTTGGTTGTTCATTTGAATATTGTTCGGTAACACTTCCATCTGGATGGCAAACAACAACGGTGCTAATGGACAATCCTGCCTCAATAAGTGGGTTAAGGAAAACTCTGTGGAGAGTGTTCCATTGACCCTTACAACTGTTGAAGACGTAGTATACATTACCACTACCCAGGAGCAAAATGTTTGACCAAAACCCATCACCGTCAAAGTAGACAGCACATATGACCAGTTTATCCGGTCATAAGTTTTTTCGAAGTCGAGAAGGAGAACCGCAAAGCTCAAATTTTCGTTGTGGATTATTTCCAGAGTCTCGACCGCTGTCACTATATTGGTGAAAATTGAGCGCCCTCTTATAAAGGCTGCTTGATCGGGTTGAACTAAGTCTGACAAGTATCTTCCAAAACGATGGGCCAAGACTTTGGCCAATAACTTGTACAAAACGTTTAATACTGAGATAGGCCTCCAATTACGAATCTTGGTTTTATCCCCATTTTTAAATAACACAGAAATGATCCCTCTGCGGATGCTGACAGACAACCCCCCCCTTGTTATCAGTTTGTTGTATACCTCCACCAAACTTTCCCCCGTCGACGCCCAAATAGAACTATACAATTTCACTGGGAGACCATCATTCCCTAGAGATTTGCCTTTAGACATAGATTTCAAGGCTATGTGAGCTTCTTCCACCGTTCTCGGACGATCTAAGTCTAGTTTTCCAACAGTGGATAGCCTCACCTTGGTATTTGACCAATGATCACTTCGTAGACCGAGGTTGTC